TCATCCCTATGGCCATGACTTGGGGGTGACTTTTACAAAAATATGACTTTTAGGCCGAGAACATACGCATTTTTAGCTTTTCGAGACAATGCGGGCATGCGAGCTTTCGAGTTCTTGCAAGGGCCGGTGTCAACAAGCGTGAAATAATATGTAGAGAAGTCGTAATTGGTGGTTTGTTATTTTTGAGACGTACATCATAGCCAAAGTAACAACCACAGAGACTTATTAGCATCGACTCGTGAGTCGAGGTTGATTCCGCCCAAAAATAGCCGACTAAGTTTTGAGCGAGTTTTAGACCCGGTTCGATGGCAAACGAGCTAATGATAAAAACTCATTGCCTAAGGCCATGACACGGGGGTGATTTTTTACGGAAAAATAACTTTTAGGCTCGAAATACACTTTCTTAGTTTTTCGAGACAATGCGGGCATGCGAGCTTTCGAGTTCCTAGAAGGGCCGGTGTGAACAAGCATGAAATAATATGTAGAGAAACTATAATTTCGGTTTGTCTTCTTTCACACGTACATCATAGCCAAAGTGACAACCACAGAGACTCATCGGCCTCGACCGTGAGCCGAGGTTGATTTTCACCCAAAAATGGTCGATAAGGTTTTAAGTAGTTTTAGACCTAGTTCGATGGCAAACAAGCCAATGATAAAAGCCGATCCCTATGGCCATGAACCGAGGGTGATTTTTGTCAAAGAAAAAAGTAAAAAACATACACATTTTTAGTTTTTCGAGATAATGCGAGCATGCGAGCTTCCGAGATCCTAGAAGGGCCGGTGTGAACAACCGTGAAACAATCTATAGAGAAAGTGTAATTGCTGGTTTGAGGTTTTTGATACCTACATCATACCAAAAGTGATAACCACAGAGACTCATCGGCCTCGACTATGAGTTGAGGTTCATTTTTGCCCAAAAATGGCCGACCAATTTTTGAGCGATTTTAGACCCATTTCGATGGCAAACGAGCCAATGATAAAAACTCATCGCCTAAGGCCATGACTCGGGGGTGATTTTTGCAAAAAAATGACTTTTAGGCCTAGAAAATACACATTGTTAGTTTTTTGAGACAATCCGGGCATGCGAGCTTTCGACTTCCTGGAAGGGCCGGTGTGAACGAGCGTTGAACAATCTATAGAGAAATTATAATTGCTTGTTTGAGGTTTTTGAAACCTCTATCATAGACAAAGTAACGACCACAAAGAATCATCCGCTCGATCGTGAGCCGAGGTTGATTTTTGCCAAAAAATTACCGACCAAGTTTAGAGCGAGTTTTAGACCCGGTTCAATGGCAAACAATCCAACGATAAAAACTCATCCCTATGGGCATGACATGGGGGTGGTTTTTGCAAAAAAATGACTTTTAGGTCGAGGAAATAAACATTTTTAGCTTTTCGAGACAATGAGTGCATGCGAGCTTTCGAATTCTCGGAAGGGCCGATGTAAACAAGCGTGAAACAATCTATAGAGAAATTGTAATTGCTGGTTTGAGGTTTTTAAGACCTACATCATAGCCAAAGTGACAACCATAGAGACTCATCGGCTTCAATTGTGTGCCGAGGTTGATTTTTGCCCAAAAATGGCCGATAAAGTTTTGAGCAGTTTTGGACCCGGTTCGATGGCAAACGAGCCAACGATAAAAACTCATTTCTATGGCCATGACTCGGGTGTGATTGTTGTAAAAAAATGATGGTTAGGTCAAGAAAATACATTTTTTTAGTTTTTCAAGACAATACGGGCATGTGAGCTTCCGAGTTCCCGAAAGTGTCGGTGTGAACGAGCTTGAAACAATTAATAGAGAAACCGTAATTGCCGGTTTAAGGTTTTTGAGACCTACATCATAGCCAAAGTGACAACCACAGAGACTCATCGGCTTCGACCGTGAGCCGAGGTTGATTTTTGCCCAAAAACTATCGACAAAGTTCGAGTAGTTTTAGACCTAGTTCGATGGCAAACGACCCAATGATAAAAACTCATCGCATATGGCCATGACTCGGGGGTGATTTTTGCAAAAAAAATAACGTTTAGGTCGAGAAAATACGTTTTTTTAGTTTTTCGAGCCAATACGGGCATGTGAGCTTCCGAGTTCCCGGAAGGGCCGGTGTGAACGAGCTTGAATAATCTATAGAGAAACCGTAATCGCTGGTTTGAGGTTTTTGAGACCTACATCATAGCCAAAGTGACAACCACAGAGACTCATCGGCCTCGACCGTGAGCCGAGGTTGATTTTTTCCCAAAAATTGTCGACAAAGTTCGAGTAGTTTTAGACCCAGCTTGATGGAAAACGACCAAATGATAAAAACGCATCGCATATGGCCATGACTCGGGGGTATTTGTGCAAAAAAAAATGACGTTTAGGTCTAGAAAATACATTTTTTTAGTTTTTCGAGACAATACGGGCATGTGAGCTTCCGAGTTCCTAGAAGCGCCGGTGTGAACGAGCTTGAAACAATCTATAGAGAAACCGTAATTGCTCGGTTTGAGGTTTTTGAGACCTACATCATAGCCAAAGTGACAACCACGGAGACTCATCGACCTCGACCGTGTGCTCGAGGTTGATTTTCGCCAAAAAATTGTCGACAAAGTTCCGAGTAGTTTTAGACCCGGTTCGATGGCAAACGACCCAATGATAAAAAACTCATCACATATGGCCATGACTCGGGGGTGATTTTTGCAAAAAAAATGACGTTTAGGTCGAGAAAATACGTTTTTTTTGTTTTTCGAGACAATACGGGCATGTGAGCTTTCAAGTTCCTGGAAGGGCCGGTGTTAACGGGCTTGAAACAATCTATAGAGAAACTGTAATTGCTAGTTTGAGGTTTTTTAGACCTACATCATAGCCAAAGTGACAAAAATAGAGACTCATCGGCTTCAATCGTGTGCTCGAGGTTGATTTTTGCCCAAAAATGGCCGATACAGTTTTGAGCAGTTTTGGACCCGGTTCGATGGCAAATGAGCCAACGATAAAAACACATCCCTATGGCCATGACTCGAGGGTGATTGTTCTAAAAAAATGACGTTTAGGTCGAGAAAATACATTTTTTTAGTTTTTCGAGATAATACGGGCATGTCGGCTTCCGAGTTCCCGAAAGTGGTCGGTGTGAACGAGCTTGAAACAATCTATAGAGAAACCGTAATTGCTAGTTTAAGGTTTTTGAGACCTACATCATAGCCAAAGTGACAACCACGGATACTCATCGGCTTCGAATGTCGAGTCGAGGTTGATTTTTGCCAAAAAATTATCGACAAAGTTCGAGTAGTTTTAGACCCGGTTCGATGGCAAACGACACAATGATAAAAACTCATCGCATATGGCCATGACTCGGGGTTTATTTTTGCAAAAAAAATGACGTTTAGGTCGAGAAAATATGTTTTTTTTGTTTTTCGAGACAATACAGGAATGTGAGCTTTAGAGTTCCTAGAAGGGCCGGTGTAAACGAGCTTGAAACAATCTATAGAGAAACTATAATTGCTAGTTTGATGTTTTTGAGACCTACATCATAGCCAAAGTGACAACCACAGAGACTCATCGGCCTCGACCGTGAGCCGAGGTTGATTTTCCCCCAAAAATTATCGACAAAGTTTTGAGTAGTTTTAGAGCCGGTTCGATGGCAAACGACCCAATGATAAAAACTCATCGCATATGGCCATGACTCGGGGTTGATTTTTGTAAAAGAAATGAGGTTTAGGTCGAGAAAATATGTTTTTTTGTTTTTCGAGACAATACGGGAATGTGAGCTTTAGAGTTCCCGGAAGGGTCGGTGTGAACGAGCTTGAAACAATCTATAGAGAAACTATAATTGCTAGTTTGAGGTTTTTTAGACTTACATCATAGCCAAAGTGACAAATATAGCGACTCATCGGCCTCGACCGTGAGCCGAGGTTGATTTTCGCCAAAAAATGGCCGACAAAGTTTTGAGCGAGTTTTAGACCCGAGTTCGATGGAAAACAAGCTAACGATAAAAACACATCCCTATGGCCTTGACCTAGGGGTGATTGTTGTAAACAAATGACGTTTAGGTCGAAAAAATACATTTTTTTAGTTTTTCGAGACAATACGGGCATATGAGCTTCCGAGTTCCGGAAAGGGTCGGTGTGAACGAGCTTGAAACAATCTATAGAGAAACCGTAATTGCTGGTTTGAGGTTTTTGAGACCTACATCATAGCCAAAGTGACAACTTCGGAGACTCATCGGCCTCGACTATGAGCCGAGGTTGATGTTTGCCCAAAAATTATCGACAAAGTTCGAGTAGTTTTAGACCCCGTTCGATGGCAAACGACCCAATGATAAAAACTCATCGCATATGGCCGGGACATGGGGTTGATTGTTGCAAAAAAAATGACGTTTAGGTCGAGAAAATATGTTTTTTTTGTTTTTTGAGACAATACGAGCATGTGAGCTTTAGAGTTCCCGGAAGGGCCGGTGTGAACGAGCTTGAAACAATCTATGAGAAACCGTAATTGCTAGTTTGAGGTTTTTAAGACCAACATCATAGCCAAAGTGACAAACATAGAGACTCATCGGCCTCGACCGTGAGCCGAGGTTGATTTTCTCCAAAAAATGGCCGACAAAGTTTTGAGCGGTTTTAGACCTAGTTCGATGGCAAACAAGCCAACGATAAAAACACATCCCTATGGCCATGACACGGGGGTGATTGTTGTAAAAAAATGACGTTTAGGTTAGAAAATACATTTTTTTAGTTTTTCGAGACAATACGGGCATGTCGGCTTCCGAGTTCCCGAAAGGGTCGGTGTGAACGAGCTTGAAACAATCTATAGAGAAACCGTAATTGCTGGTTTGAGGTTTTTGAGACCTACATCATAGCCAAAGTGGCAACCACAGAGACTCATCGGCTTCGATTGTGAGTCGAGGTTGATTTTCGCCCAAAAATTATCCACAAAGTTCGAGTAATTTTAGACCCGGTTCGATGGCAAACGACACAATGATAAAAACTCATCGCATATGGCCATGACTCGGGGTTGATTTTTGCAAAAAAAATGATGTTTAGGTCGAGAAAATATGTTTTTTTTGTTTTTCGAGACAATACGGAATGTGAGCTTCCGAGTTCCCGGAAGGGCCGGTGTGACGAGCTTGAAACAATCTATAGAGAAACTATAATTGCTGGTTTGATTTTTTTGAGACCTACATCATAGCAAAAGTGACAACCACAGAGACTCATCGGCCTCGACCGTGAGCCGAGGTTGATTTTCGCCCAAAAATTGTCGACAAAGTTTTGAGTAGTTTTAGACCCGAGTTCGATGGCAAACGACCCAATGATAAAAACACATCACATATGGCTAGGACACGGGGTTGATTTTTGCAAAAAAAAATGACGTTTAGGTCGAGAAAATATGTTTTTCTTTCTTTCTCGAGACAATACGGGCATGTGAGCTTTAGAGTTCCCGGAAGGGCCGGTGTGAACGAGCTTGAAACAATCTATGAGAAACCGTAATTGCTAGTTTGAGGTTTTTTAGACCGACATCATAGCCAAAGTGACAACCACGAGATATGTTTTTTTGTTTTTCGAGACAATACAGGAATGTGAGCTTTAGAGTTCCCGGAAGTGCCGGTGTGAACAAGCTTGAAACAATCTATAGAGAAACCATAATTACTAGTTTGAGGTTTTTTAGACCTACATCATAGCCAAAGTGACAAACATAGCGACTCATCGGCCTCGACCGTGAGCCGAGGTTGATTTTCGCCAAAAAATGGCCGATAAAGTTTCAAGCGAGTTTTAGACCCGGTTCGATGGCAAACAAGCCAACGATAAAAACACATCCCTATGGCCATGACACGGGGGTGATTGTTGTAAAAAAATGACGTTTAGGTCGAGAAAATACATTTTTTTTGTTTTTCGAGACAATACGGGCATGTGAGCTTCCGAGTTCCTGTAAGAGCCGGTGTGAACGAGCTTGAAACAATCTATAGAGAAACTATAATTGCTAGTTTGATCTTTTTGAGACCTACATCATACCCAAAGTGACAACCACGAGAGACTCATCGGCCTCGATCGTGAGCCGAGGTTGATTTTTGCCCAAAAATTATCAACAAAGTTGTGAGTAGTTTTAGACCCGGTTCGATGGCAAGCGACCCAATGATAAAAACTCATCGCATATGGCCATGACATGGGGTTGATTTTTGCAAAAAAAATGACGTTTAGGTCGAGAAAATATGTTTTTTTTTTTTTTTGAGACAATACGGGCATGTGAGCTTTGGAGTTCCTGGAAGGGCTGGTGTGAACGAGCTTGAAACAATCTATAGAGAAATTGTAATTGCTAGTTTGAGGTTTTTTAGACCTACATCATAGCCAAAGTGACAAACATAGAGACTCATCGGCCTCGACCGTGAGCCGAGGTTGATTTTCGCCAAAAAATGGCCGACAAAGTTTTTAGCAATTTTAGACCCGGTTCGATGGCAAACGAGCCAATGATAAAAACACATCCCTATGGCCATGACTCGGGGGTGATTGTTGTAAAAAAATGACGGTTAGTCGAGAAAATACATTTTTTTAGTTTTTCGAGACAATACGAGCATGTGAGCTTCCGAGTTCCCGAAAGTGGTCGGTGTGAACGAGCTTGAAACAATCTATAGAGAAACCGTAATTGCTTGGTTTGAGGTTTTTGAGACCTATATCATAGCCAAAGTGACAACCACAGAGACTCATCGACTTCGACTCGTGAGTCGAGGTTGATGTTTGCCCAAAAATTATCGACAAAGTTTTGAGTAGTTTTAGACCCCGTTCGATGGCAAATGACTCAATGATAAAAACTCATCGCATATGGCGAGGACATGGAGTTGATTTTTGCAAAAAAAATGATGTTTAGGTCGAGAAAAGATGTTTTTTTTGTTTTTTGAGACAATACGGGCATGTGAGCTTTAGAGTTCTCGGAAGGGCCGGTGTGAACGAGCTTAAAACAATCTATAGAGAAACTATAATTGCTAGTTTGAGGTTTTTTAGACCGACATCATAGCCAAAGTGACAAACATAGAGACTCATTGGCCTCGATTGTGAGTCGAGGTTGATTTTCGCCAAAAAATGGTCGATAAAGTTTTGAGCGAGTTTTAGACGTAGTTCGATGCCAAACAAGCCAACGATAAAAACACATCCCTATGGCCATGACACGGGGGTGATTGTTGTGAAAAAATGACGTTTAGGTCGGAAAATACATTTTTTTAGTTTTTCGAGACAATACGGGCATGTCGGCTTCCGAGTTCCCGAAATGGTCGGTGTGAACGAGCTTGAAACAATCTATAGAGATACCGTAATTGTTGGTTTAAGGTTTTTGAGACCTACATCATAGCCAAAGTGACAACCACGGATACTCATCGGCTTCGACCGTGAGTCGAGGTTGATTTTTGCCCAAACATTGTCGACAAAGTTCGAGTAGTTTTAGGCCTAGTTCGATGACAAACGACACAATGATAAAAACTCATCGCATATGGCCATGACTCGGGGTTGTTTTTTGTAAAAAAAAATGACGTTTAAGTCGAGAAAATATGTTTTTTTTGTTTTTCGAGACAATACAGGAATGTGAGCTTTAGAGTTCCTGGAAGGGCCGGTGTGAACGAGCTTGAAACAATCTATAGAGAAACCGTAATTGCTAGTTTGAGGTTTTTTAGACCTACATCATAGCCAAAGTGACAAACATAGAGACTCATCGACCTCGACCGTGAGCTGAGGTTGATTTTCGCCAAAAAATGGCCGACAAAGTTTTGAGCAATTTCGGACCCGGTTCGATGGCAAAGGACCCAATGATAAAAAAACATCTCTATGGCCATGACACGGGGGTGATTGTTGCAAAAAAATGACGTTTAGGTCGAGAAAATACATTTTTTTTGTTTTTCGAGACAATACGGGCATGTGAGCTTTAGAGTTCCTAGAAGGGCCGGTGTGAACGAGCTTGAAACAATCTATAGAGAAACTATAATTGCTAGTTTGAGGTTTTTTAGACCTATATCATAGCCAAAGTGACAAACATAGAGACTCATCGGCCTCGACCGTGAGTCGAGGTTGATTTTCGCCAAAAAATGGCCGACAAAGTTTTGAGCGAGTTTTAGACCTAGTTCGATGGCAAACAAGCCAACGATAAAAACACATCCCTATGGCCATTACCTTGGGGTGATTGTTGTAAAAAAATGACGTTTAGGTTAGAAAATACATTTTTTTAGTTTTTCGAGACAATACGGGCATGTCGGCTTCCAAGTTCTCGAAAGTGGTCGGTGTGAACGAGCTTGAAACAATCTATAGAGAAACCGTAATTGCTGGTTTGAGGATTTTGAGACCTACATCATAGCCAAAGTGACAACCACGAGAGACTCATCGGCTTCGATCGTGAGTCGAGGTTGATGTTTGCCCAAAAATTATCGACAAAGTTCGAGTAGTTTTACACCCCGTTCGATGGCAAACGACCCAATGATAAAAAATCATCGCATATGGCCAAGACATGGGGTTGATTTTTGCAAAAAAAATGACGTTTAGGTTGAGAAAATATGTTTTTTTTGTTTTTTGAGACAATACGAGCATGTGAGCTTTAGAGTTCTCGAAAGGGCCGGTGTGAACGAGCATGAAACAATCTATAGAGAAACCGTAATTGCTAGTTTGAGGTTTTTTAGACCGACATCATAGCCAAAGTGACAAACATAGAGACTCATCGGCCTCGACCGTGAGCCGAGGTTGATTTTCGCCAAAAAATGGTCGATAAAGTTTTGAGCGAGTTTTAGACCTAGTTCGATGGCAAACAAGCCAACGATAAAAACACATCCCTATGGCCATGACTCGGTGGTGATTTTTGTAAAAAAATGTCGTTTAGGTCGGAAAATACATTTTTTTAGTTTTTCGGGACAATACGGGCATGTCGGCTTCCGAGTTCCCGAAAGGGTCGGTGTGAACGAGCTTGAAACAATCTATAGAGAAACCGTAATTGCTGGTTTGAGGTTTTTGAGACGTACATCATAGCCAAAGTGACAACCACGAGAGACTCATCGGCCTCAATCGTGAGCCGAGGTTGATTTTTGCCCAAAAATTATCGACAAAGTTCCGAGTAGTTTTAGACCCGGTTCGATGGCAAACGACCCAATGATAAAAACTCTTCGCATATGGCCAAGACCTAGGGGTGATTTTTGCAAAAAAAATGACATTTAGGTCGAGAAAATACGTTTTTTTAGTTTTTCGAGACAATACGGGCATGTGAGCTTTAGAGTTCCCGAAAGGGCCGGTGTGAACGAGCTTGAAAAAATCTATAGAGAAACTATAATTGCTGGTTTGAGGTTTTTGAGACCTACATTATAGCCAAAGTGACAACCACGGAGACTCATCGGCTTCGATCGTGAGTCGAGGTTGATTTTTTCCCAAAAATTATCGACAAAGTTCGAGTAGTTTTAGACCCCGTTCGATGCCAAACGACCCAATGATAAAAACTCATCGCATATGGCCATGACACAGGGGTGGTTTTTGCAAAAAAAATGACGTTTAGGTCGAGAAAATACGTTTTTTTTGTTTTTTGAGACAATACGAGCATGTGAGCTTCCGAGTTCCTGGAAGGGCCGGTGTGAACTAGCTTTAAACAATCTATAGAGAAACCGTAATTGCTGGTTTGAGGTTTTTGAGACCTACATCATAGCCAAAGTGACAACCACAGAGACTCATCGGCCTCGACCGTGAGCTGAGGTTGATTTTTGCCCAAAAATTGTCGACAAAGTTACGAGTAGTTTTAGACCCGGTTCGATGACAAACGACACAATGATAAAAACTCATCGCATATGGCCATGACCTAGGGTTGTTTTTGTAAAAAAAAATGACGTTTAGGTCGAGAAAATATGTTTTTTTTGTTTTTCGAGACAATACGGGAATGTGAGCTTTAGAGTTCCCGGAAGGGCCGGTGTGAACGAGCTTGAAACAATCTATAGAGAAACCGTAATTGCTAGTTTGAGGTTTTTTAGACCTACATCATAGCCAAAGTGACAAACATAGAGACTCATCGACCTCGACTCGTGAGCCGAGGTTGATTTTCGCCAAAAAATGGCCGACAAAGTTTTGAGCAATTTCGGACCCGGTTCGATGGCAAAGGACCCAATGATAAAAAAACATCTCTATGGCCATGACACGGGGGTGATTGTTGCAAAAAAATGACGTTTAGGTCGAGAAAATACATTTTTTTTGTTTTTCGAGACAATACGGGCATGTGAGCTTTAGAGTTCCTAGAAGGGCCGGTGTGAACGAGCTTGAAACAATCTATAGAGAAACTATAATTGCTAGTTTGAGGTTTTTTAGACCTATATCATAGCCAAAGTGACAAACATAGAGACTCATCGGCCTCGACCGTGAGCCGAGGTTGATTTTCGCCAAAAAATGGCCGACAAAGTTTTGAGCGAGTTTTAGACCTAGTTCGATGGAAAACAAGCCAACGATAAAAACACATCCCTATGGCCATTACCTTGGGGTGATTGTTGTAAAAAAATGACGTTTAGGTTAGAAAATACATTTTTTTAGTTTTTCGAGACAATACGGGCATGTCGGCTTCCAAGTTCCCGAAAGGGATGGTGTGAACGAGCTTGAAACAATCTATAGAGAAACCGTAATTGCTCGGTTTGACGATTTTGAGACCTACATCATAGCCAAAGTGACAACCACAGAGACTCATCGGCTTCGATCGTGAGCCGAGGTTGATTTTTGCCCAAAAATTATCGACAAAGTTACGAGTAGTTTTAGACCCGAGTTCGATGGCAAACGACCCAATGATAAAAACTCTTCGCATATGGCCATGACCTAGGGGTGATTTTTGCAAAAAAAATGACATTTAGGTCGAGAAAATACGTTTTTTTAGTTTTTCGAGACAATACGGGCATGTGAGCTTTAGAGTTCCTGGAAGGGCCGGTGTGAACGAGCTTGAAAAAATCTATAGAGAAACTATAATTGCTGGTTTGAGGTTTTTGAGACCTACATTATAGCCAAAGTGACAACCACGAGACTCATCGGCTTCGACTCGTGAGTCGAGGTTGATTTTTTCCCAAAAATTATCGACAAAGTTACGAGTAGTTTTAGACCCCGTTCGATGGCAAACGACCCAATGATAAAAACTCATCGCATATGGCCATGACACAGGGGTGGTTTTTGCAAAAAAAATGACGTTTAGGTCGAGAAAATACGTTTTTTTTGTTTTTTGAGACAATACGAGCATGTGAGCTTCCGAGTTCTCGGAAGGGCCGGTGTGAACGAGCTTTAAACAATCTATAGAGAAACTGTAATTGCTGGTTTGAGGTTTTTGAGACCTACATCATAGCCAAAGTGACAACCACGGAGACTCATCGGCCTCGACTCGTGAGTCGAGGTTGATTTTTGCCCAAAAATTGTCGACAAAGTTCGAGTAGTTTTAGACCCGGTTCGATGACAAACGACACAATGATAAAAACTCATCGCATATGGCCATGACCTAGGGTTGTTTTTGTAAAAAAAAATGACGTTTAGGTCGAGAAAATATGTTTTTTTTGTTTTTCGAGACAATACGGGAATGTGAGCTTTAGAGTTCCTGGAAGGGCGGTGTGAACGAGCTTGAAACAATCTATAGAGAAACCGTAATTGCTAGTTTGAGGTTTTTTAGACCTACATCATAGCCAAAGTGAAAAAAATAGAGACTCATCGGCCTCGATCGTGAGTCGAGGTTGATTTTCGCCAAAAAATGGCCGATAAAGTTTTGAGCAATTTTAGACCTAGTTCGATGGCAAAGGAGCCAATGATAAAAAAACATCTCTATGGCCATGACACGGGGGTGATTGTTGTAAAAAAATGACGTTTAGGTCGAGAAAATACATTTTTTTTGTTTTTCGAGACAATACGGGCATGTCGGCTTCCGAGTTCCCTAAGGGTCGGTGTGAACGAGCTTGAAACAATCTATAGAGAAACCGTAATTGCTGGTTTGAGGTTTTTGAGACCTACATCATAGCCAAAGTGACAACCACGGAGACTCATCGGCCTCGACCGTGAGCCGAGGTTAATTTTCACCCAAAAATTGTCGACAAAGTTGTGAGTAGTTTTAGACCTCGTTCGATGGAAAACGACCCAATGATAAAAACTCATCGCATATGGCGAGGACATGGGGTTGATTTTTGCAAAAAAAATGACGTTTAGTTCGAGAAAATATTTTTTTTTGTTTTTCGAGATAATACGGGCATGTGAGCTTTAGAGTTCTTGGAAGGGTCGGTGTGAACAAGCTTGAAACAATGCGAAGAGAAACTGTAATTGCTAGTTTGAGGTTTTTTAGACCTACATCATAGCCAAAGTGACAAACATAGCGACTCATCGGCCTCGACCGTGAGCCGAGGTTGATTTTTGCCAAAAAATGGCCGACAAAGTTTTGAGCGAGTTTTAGACTCGGTTCGATGGCAAACAAGCCAACGAGCAAAACACATCCCTATGGCCTTGACACGGGGGTGATTGTTGTAAAAAAATGACGTTTAGGTCGAGAAAATACATTTTTTTATTTTTTCGAGACAATACGGGCATGTGAGCTTTAGAGTTCCCGGAAGGGTCGGTGTGAACAAGCTTGAAACAATCTATAGAGAAACTATAATTGCTAGTTTGAGGTTTTTTAGACCTACATCATAGCGAAAGTGACAAACATAGAGACTCATCGGCCT